AGAGGCCAGTAGGCGTCCCTACTGGCTGTGTGTGGAGATCAAGGTCGTCAGACCTGGACTTGGTCTGCCCTTATCGTCGGTTTTCAGAGTCAGATCACGACACCAACACTTTCCGTGGCGTTGACTTCGCACCACCACTTCTCACAGGAACCAAAAAACGAAGAAAAACAACGGGAGACGGCAACACGGAAAAACTCGCTTCGCGCACGTTCGATGGCCCAAGCTAATCTAATCTCTCCTCGTTTCCCTTCCTGACTTTCCTCTCTTTTCCCTTACCCCTACTTTCCCACTTAGGTCCCTTGAACTCTTTTTTCCCCTTTCTCTACCCGCCCTAGCCTACTAACTTGGCCTAACGGTGGGGCACCGTTACAAACTGTATAAGAAGATGGAATATATCAACACGTATGTGAGTATGTGGACGGTACGTATACGTATACCTAAAGTAGACTATTTTTTCTTATTGACGGCCCTCGGACACACCGCAGGAAAGAGAGACAAACAGTAAGTCAAAAATAACTTTAATAATACAAACAAAACCAGCAGGAACCGATGGCCATTTTTTTTCCTCTGTCAAATTTCTTTTTTTTTATAAGAACGGGCTCATGTCAATGATATTAATATTAGTTAAGCCATCTTTGCATACGAATATTAAGAGTGGCACTACCTAAGTCTACATAAAAAAAAAGAACGCAGGTAGTATAAAGTGTAATAAAATGCCTAATATGTACGAACACAAAAAAGTATAAAGAAAATATGAACAATGTAATAAAAAAGGGAGTGATGCAGAAAAAAAACCAATTGGGGTGTGAAGGTTTTATACATTTTATCGAGGGTTAATGGTACAATATGGGAACAGGCTTCCAAAATATACAATATACATCTCTTTTTTCCACCAAGGTCCCAGTTAAACACCGATAACAAGTCCGATTCATCAAGGCAAGGGCAACGGGAGAAGCCAATATGAGCACCGTAATAGCCCATAACGCATCGGCGGGCTTTGTCACATAGTAAGACAGAAAACATACACATAGACTCTTATACACAAAAAAGAGCTCGTGGCGAGACTTTGAGGGTTAAAAACAAAGAAAAAGTAGAAAAATACTTTAAGCTGCATATTTGCGCTCCTCTCGTTTTTCTGGAGCTTCACCCAGCAAACTGTGATGAACGTCCTGAAGTTCAAAAATCACCTTAGGGGGTCGTCCATTATTTACGTGAGGTGATTTGGGTAATTTTTCGGCCCCCACCCCGTTAATTTCACGTGATATTTTTCAAAATGCGTATTTTGAGTGTAACTACATGCATATGTGCTTGATTGTAAAAAAATAATTCGAAAAACATAACTTGACTCGTTTTTTTTATTGAAGACTAGATAAGATTAGTATGTAAAACTACTAAGAACATTATCTAGTATCACAGTAAGAAAATTCACCAATTAAATACACATAATCATAAAAAAATGTTCATTTCAATTCAGTCCATGAGAACTTATATGTGTTTTCAAGAGTAATTAGTGAAACCAGCATGTCCATAAGACTTTCAGTAAAACCATCGGCTCCGTCCACTTCACTCTGACTTAGCCACTCAAAAACATTGTCGATTGCACACAGAAGCTCAGTAGCTTGATGTGTGACAATCTTTGAAGATCGCACTTTGCTTACTTCACAGTTGGTGCCTTATGGGCTGCATGCTAATGCTCAATTACTTTTGTTATGAGTGAGAAATAAATGCCGCATGTACTGCAGCATCTTTTTTCCAGATCACCACGTAAACTTAGGCAATAAAGGTCATAGGGCATGCTGATAAAGTAGTGCAGAGGTTGAACCGGTAGGCAGTGACAAATCAAAAAAAGGAGCAAATGACTTTCCGTCATGCTCTTTAAGGGACAGAACTATCGGTTGCCCTTTAACCTGAGCGATAGGGTATGAGGGTGGGAGAAAACGGTCGAGCGTAATCATATCCAGTGCACTTCAGCGTGGTCTGCAGCAGTTCTGGTCATCACATTGAACAACCTAAAAAAACAATAGTAAACAATTCATTATATTATTTTTAACTTTTGATAAAAATGTATTAATGTATTGTTGGTTTAGTACTCACACTAATCAGAAATTTTTTAAAAATATAAAAAAGTATGTCTAAAATCGTGGTAAAAATAAGAAGTAAACTTGGCTCTCTCTCTAACGTGCTCGGTATACCATCCTTCGCATAGTAGGTGTGGTTCGCTATAAGTGTCTCCGTTTGAGTCTACGTATTGAGCGACGACTTCATATTCATCAATGCATACTGCGGACCATATTTCGGCCAAAACGTCCCCTGCCTTTTTGAAATTATTTTTCTCTAGGCTAATATCTACCGTTCTACCACTGGAGTCAAGATGGGTCCCAAAAGAGTCGTGAGGAAGCATAACAACCACTAAGTGGAGCCATGCATCTCTCTACTCTATTAAAAGCACTTCGGCCAGGAGCATTAGTCACGATAAATATTGCGTCTATATCATACTTTTTTAAATGCTCTATGGCATGAGCCATCACTTTACGATATCGTGGATTCTCGGCAGGACCACTATCGCTTGAAATGATGAGGACAGGCTTAACTAAGCCGTCTTCATTTTTTATAAAATCTTTAAAAGGCTGAAAAGTTAAAAGAGTATTCAAGTCTTGAGCGTGACTAGTCGCAGTCGAAGAGGAGTGCTTAGCACTTCGGATTGCTACAAAGGTTAGTCCACTGTACGAGACGGCTTCGGGCCATCCCATCTCATTGGATTTAATTGCACAAAGAGCGTACACACTTGGAATTAATTTGTGCCTTGAAGTAATAATAAAGTCGTGATTTGGCAGCGACACTTTTCACTCAACGTGCTTTAGCAAAGGCGCCCATATACAGGCTGCTGTAAGTTCAATGGGAACTCAAGCTTTATAACCGCACTAAAAGAACTAATAATCTTCTTTAGGGTAGAGGTAGTATACATCTGTGTATTATACGTTGTATGCGCACGAAACTTCATGTTACATTATACGCTTGAGCCCGTAAACTATCACAGTGGGTATTCACGCTATAAAGCACGCACGTTACTCACTACGTTTATATTATATAATTTGCTGAATCTACTATAGTAAATTATTTTCAGCCAAATGAATCGTTTTTTTTTCGTTTTACAGACCTCTCCTCTCAGCCTAAAAAAATTATAAGTCTTCAGAGATGGATTAGACTTTGTGTTTGACTAAACTTCTTCCGGTGTTTTATCATCAAGTACTATTCAAGGCGATCGATTTATGATGTGTGCTGCAGTTGCAGTAGCTTCACCCCAAAATTTATTCGGTAATTCAGATTAGAATGGCATACATCTCATCCACTTAAGAAGTGGCTGGTAAAGGATGGTCATTACCATAGGGGGTGTGGGGGAATGAAGGAAAGCACGCGTGCCGTGATAAAGTCTGCTGTAATAACCTAGTCCAAAAACGTCCACTCAACTCACATTTGTGTTCAACTCACCAGTAATCATTGGTGTAATTATACTATGCTTCAAAAAAGTAACAGAATATTTTTCAAGGTATCTAGTTTCTTATGGTATAAAACAAACAGTGGAAATCTTTTTTTTATACGAGATTAAAAATAAAGAGAAAACGGCATAGTCAATCTAATCTTCTTTCAAGAAAAGTTTGCCATGAATTTTCCAAATTAGAGGTCTCATGGAGGGCTGCACCAAGTTTTATACCATAATTTTTAGTACAATGGCTTCTAAAAATGATTTTATGAAAATACATCGTACCACGTAAAAAGTCAAGCTGACGGCAGACTGTGTACTTAGTGCGTTCTTGTCTCCTGCATGCATGTAGGTAGTATACTAGCTGGAAACAAATTTGTTTACGTTTGTGCAAATATCTCTAATGGTAAAGATTTGCACGTGTATCAATGAAGTTGTTATAAATAATATACCAGTTTTTCAGAACATTTTTATCGCTACGTCAAGAGTAATAAGTTTTTTCTAAGACTTTTTGACAACTCACATTTGAGCCCATGTTAAACATGACGAAAAAGAGAGACTTCATGAACTTTTTTTCTAAAATTTTTATCCAGTTCTGTTAAAATATATTTTGCTTTTATAATTGAAACAGCATCTATTTAACAAATATCCAAATGTACCAATTTCAACCTGAATAAAGCACGCTTTACATTTGACTCAAAATGAGTTTTTATATACTGTTACATATTATAATTACACATTAGACCTTTTTATTTAATCTTAAAAGGAAAATGATCTATATGATTATTGAAATCTAAGAAAGTTAATTTAAAAATTACATTTAATGTAAAATATTCAAATAGACCGGATTCAGGTGGAGACACCGGGCTGCAATAAGGCAGCCATGGACACAAGAGTGGGACGAGCACAGGCCACAGCCTGTGCTTGGAGCTGTGCGGAAACGAGCATAGGTGTTGGAGGGGGGTGACTTCATACTCGCTATGGGTGGTCTTAAAGCTAGAGAGAAGCAAAGTAATCCCGTACCTCGATAGCTCTAATAAAATTAGATAAGAAAATACTCGAAAAATATTTTTCTCATATACATATAGGAGGGCCAAAAATTTTTTAGCTCATGATGGTCACGAACAATACTTAAAAAATATTTTAAAAGACTTTTAAATCTGTATGCAAGAAGCGAACTAGGAGTTGGTGAGGTTGTTAAACTCTTCAAAAGATATGATTTTGAATGTAAAAATAAATTGGAAATAGAAAGCTAGATCAGGAGTTTGCGCATAAGTTATGTTTATTTGTAAATACTGTGTACATGTATGATTTAATAGCGGAAACAATACATCAGAGACGAGACTCGAGGATGTGGTCATTTAAGTATGAGAGTGTGTGGAGTGTAGAAAGGTATGTGTCTGAGCCGGATAAGATTAATTTTAGAAAGAATTTGTAAACCAAGTCCTTTTCTGGGCCATAAAGGCTGAAAATAAAGAATATATATATATACTTAAAAAATATTTTAACATTTGAAAATTTATTGAAGCGTTTGTCTATTCTGGCCCTTAAAATATTCCGATTTCTGTAGAATGACTCATATATTACCTTTTTGACACGAATCCCTCTGCAAGCTAACAGAGACACTACTACATAATCTTCGCTCCTAAGAGAATATACTACTGGAGGTAGCATAGCAATGATTTACAGAGTGACGAGGCAGACAGACTTTTAGCAGTAGCTAACTCTCTCTAGCTGAAGCGTGATTGGTTGACGCGAAGTAGCTATTTCACTCTAGTTGAAAAGTGGTTGGTTATCGCAGATAAAATCAAACGTCTCGACTAACCGCGTCCCAGCTAGAGAAAGATAGCTACTACCAAAACTCGTCCTCGTCAGTCTTATACTGTAATGCATTGCCATGCCGCCTCCAGTAGTATATGCTTTAGATGCCGCTTAGCCAAATTGTGTGAAAAGGTGGTAAAGAGGTAAGCAATCAGCTCACCTGTCTTCCTTACACCGTGTCTCGTACCTGCATAGGTGAAGAGGGGGGCAGTTTTTGCGCAGCTATAAAGTCATGGATGGGTGATTGCGCTACGAGCACAAGTGCAAGGGGGCTGTGGTCGTACCCACGCTGAAATCGTCTTTAAGCCTCCGATACACTGAATACTATTTGAGACTAAGCATTACGATACAGTATCATTTATATTTATGTAGCTTTCTTTTAACTGTCAGTAAAACGGTACAAACTATTGACAAAGTTTTAGATCATAGGAATATGGAGACTCATATGTATACTGTTTACTAATTTTTGTTCGATCATTTGGGGCAAACTTCCAAACAAAAAACACAATACGTTCAAACTTTCAAAGGTAGTTCCACGCAGCATATTTCTTCTTCAATGTCACCAACATCACATCATCCCAGCACACATAAAGAATGCTAGTAAAAATTTTGGTAATTTAACTTTTAGGAGTAATTTTTGCCATAAACTAGCCTTAACCAGTTTTGAAAAAATTTGTGTCTCAATCTTAAAATTAACGACATTGTTTTGCACATAAGGTTCTTAAGAACGTGGTTAAGGACTTAAAAGAATGTGTACAGAATTTTTAAATCGACGAATTAAACTCAACTAATTGGATTTTTTACGAATATAAACAAAAAATATGTAAAGATAAAAAATAGAGTTAAAAATTTACTTAGAAACAAATTCACAAGGCTATACACTTAGCTCGACAAACGAATATCTTTAAAAGAAGAAAACATTGTTAATCTGACACAAACCCATTAAAAGTAAACATTTTTTTTTTGTAATAGGCCATATATTTGTGTGACTGAACACCTTTTACGGGAAAAACTGTATAGCAACGGCAATTTACCACAGTTTTCTGAAAGTAAGGATGGTCGCTAGGCATCTAAGTGGTCGCTAGGGGCGGTATACGTGCTGAATATGCGTAGAAAAGAGAGGGGAAAGAGAAGGTAGGTGAAAAAGAAAGCCAAAAAATGGCAGAATGAGTTCGAGGTCTTAAGGAGTCAGACATCAAGAAGTACAGGAATTACAAGAAAGTAGATCCCCCATCAAACATCGCTGCAGTTTTTGGAGTCTTCTATGAAAGGCATTTGAGTTGACGTTGAGTTTAAGACCTTTGTTTGTTTTATAATCAAACAAATCAGTATCACTAGATCGGCTGTGTGGTGATGCTGAAGGTCGTTTAATTTCCTTAATACTCTTGATTTCAATCTTTACCAAAATTAGTAAAACCTGTTTGATTTTCTCTTCGGGGGATCGTTTGCTCTTTAGCCCTCGAACGTACTCTTTGGCTACGTTTATCTTGAGGTCATATATTAATTAAAATTCTATTTTCAAGAAACTCTGGGTGCAGTGCAAAGCGAATTCGTGCTCAATAGTGAGAACATGTTATGGTACGAGTCAGTTCTAATAAGTGATCTTGTAGTCAATTTTTCGAATTGATACTTTAATACTCTTTGATCGAAAGTGATATTAATGTAGTCAGTATAAGTTTTCTTTCCTGTTCCTTACCAGCAGAGTATTTTTGCAACTACACGTAAGTGAAATTTTTTCCTAATGCACTAAGGTAAGTTGAAGCCAGTGATTAGTAAGTTGTGGTTATTACATGTATTAGTCATCTCCATCAATTTGTACAAATCAATACTTTCTACGAATAATTTTGTTTTTTTTATACGTGGAGAACAATTTTGATTTATCGCCAAAGAGCGGTTAAGTCAGTAACGTCGAAGAATATTTACTTTATTTTATTGTTTCTGCCTACTGGCTTATAAGCGAATAATACTGTTGCAACTTTTATGATCAATGTTACGATCTTATGATTGTTTATAATTTTCTCTACTTACTATCGTTAATTATGATTTTAAATAACTCACTGACGAGGAGAGCTCTTGTTCTAGCAATTCTTCGTCGAGGTTAAATTTGTTCACTTTCTGCTCTGTTTTCATTTCTTTCCTTTCGATTGACGATAGTTCTGTCATAACCAACTCTGTTTGGTTTGATAAGAACATGGTGAGTATTCTTGTATGATTGTTTCCGCTTTCGATGATATTTTTAATGTTCCTCTCGTCTTCCTCGTCGAGTGTGCCGAACAAAAATCTATTTATTTTGCCTATAACCTTTTTGCCTGTCTTTTCTTCTTAGCTTGTACAGCATGTCCAGCTAATAGATTAATCGTTTGTTTTACTAGTTCTTTTGTTATAACATGTTTCTACGGATCTCCGTTATGTGTTGGAGTAATATGGATCTATCCAAGGACCTCCTGGGTGTTCAAAGATGCCTAATATTTTTGTTGGTTTGCATTGTTCATAAAAATATGATTGCGTAGAATTAAGCAATAGGCTAATATATTGGCGAGAAAATTATCGTGAGATTCAAATTTAAACAACATTGCGTGCTTCATGATCATCATGTTGACATTCAGATCACCGTAATGATGAAATGTGAATTTAAATAGTCTAACATTTCCTATGTTACAGTGATTGGATGTCTTGACTATCTACATATGTTTTAATGTTGAGAGTAAAAATAGACTTTCATAAAACTTCTAAATATAAAAACTTATAAATATCAATTTGTCTTTGTTAATCAAATAGTTAAGCAGACAAATTTCATGAAAAACCGACACCACTGCATATGGAACGCGCTATTTAAGCTGCCGTATTACTATTTTAAATTCTACGTTACGTCTTGATCAGGACAAAACATTAACCAATTTTTCATGAGGGTTGTTAGAACCACATGTCTGGCCTTATTTATTTCAATAGCGTTAATCTCATTATCAATTTCTTCGGATTGGTGACAAATGAACTTATTCACCAGTACAGTATTCATAGTTGCTGTATTACTATCTGGTATTACTACCTACTAAGCCAATAATGTAGTTATTTTGTTAATAAAATGAATCCAAAACCTGTGAATGCAGAAAGTTTCTATATTGTTTGTACATGAAAAATCAGTCGAACTTAAAATCCTAGCTGCTTCATTTCGTGAGTTATTCGCATTCGTAGATTTTTGGTGATTGAAATTAGAAATTTTAATTTTTTTAACTATAAGTATCGATGTATTAATGTGGTTTACTACGGCTAAAAAATACAACTTGTATTACAAATAAAACATTGTAAGATATACATAGATACAATAGAACTTAATAATACTTTGAAAATACAACGTGCAAGATCTCCCTACGACAACTACCACCAATAACGATCGGTGCAACAGATTAGAGTGTAAATAAATTTACAATTCAATGAAGGATAATTTCTAAAAATCGTTGTCATTTTATATTTATCTTACCTTTAATATGAGTCACGGTAGTACATGTTTTCATAATGAGAATAGGCAAAAAATATGCACTCCGTGAGGCAGAAAAATTATTTTGGTTAAGTTAAGTCAGAAAAGTTTGTGATAAATAATAAAATGGAAAATCTCATAAAAAAGTGTGTGTCAAAAGATTTGATTTACAAAATGTAAAATATCCTTTGAGTATTTGTAGATCATGCTATCTAACACTTCTTGATTTTGAAAAAGAGATATTCAACAGACGAATACAAATTATGTCTGATTACAACAAAATGGTACTACCAAGAAAGACACGATCTGCAAAAGACACCTGTGAATGTTATACATGCTTTACTGCCACTTCTTTTGAGCACATAAATGTAAAGAAAGGCAGAGGATATTTGAGAGAACTAAGAACTAACATGGATGTTTCAGGGCAATATAAAAAATCTATGGAGAAAAAAAAAGCTTCAAGTCCAGTTAAAACCACTAGCAATGTTATTAAGCTCTGTAGTAAATGTTCTCAAGAAATAGGAAAAGATATGAGCCATGCTTGCAAGAGCCCTAAAGATAATTTACTGAAAGTAGTTGAACGGCTTCCTGATAAAAATAAAAAACAGGTCGTTAGCTCTATTATAAAAACTAAATTCTGTTCTTCAAATAAATGATAAAAGTCCTATCTTAACATTAGCGACTGGTGGTCGGAAAAGAAAGTTAATTGTTCATGACAGTATAAAAAAACCGTTATGATTTAGCAAAAACAGTTTCGATGATTTTCGAGTTGAAATAAGGGCATTACACACTAGATAAAAAATATTATAAATTTTTTAAGGTGTAATGTAGGTAGAAAATCGATTCCCAAAAATTATAATCAACATATGTTAAAAAAATCGAATGCATTAAAAGATATTTGTAAAGTTGGCTTTCATAACTCTGACTGTGAAAACTCATAAAATAAACAACGATAGCTTGTTATCTATGCTAATGCTGAATATTTACTTGAATCAGTTATAGAGAAAAAAGAACTAGAAGGAAATGGTACTGTTAAGATTATGGCTGACGGAGGTCAAGGTTTTTTTTAAAATAGTTTGACAATTCTTTCTGAAAATTACTCTCCACAGTTAAGTCCTGAGTATACTGAAAACAGTGAGCGCAACTCAAATGATTTATATGAATGTGAGAACAGATCATTATATTCGAAAGGTGGAACTCTTGGAAAACGAAGTAAGCTGAGTAGCATAGACACATTAATATTGTTATGCATCGTTCCACAAATAAAAGAATTTTACAAGAATTTTAAACTCTTAGTTGACGTAACAGATTTAAATAATATTTCGTTCAAATTTTTGGCAGATTTTTAACTCTTACTAATTGTTAATGGACAACAAACTGCTAGCGCTGCCTATCCCTGTCTATATTGTTTTATTTCGTTGAATACTTAGAGAGGCAAATCTATTACTGAAGATAGTTCTGATTTTATTGCATCCACGAGTTCAATAGATACAAAAATAGTGAAAAATTGTAGGGGATTTAAAACTTATGGAGATTTACGAGCTGTTTTTAAAAAACACTGTCTTACAGGTAAAGATAAACAATATGGTAAAGAATGTCATCGTACAATTAATTTCCCTGTTTTCTCGGAAAATGATGAAGTTTATGTATTGCAAAAATGTGTTATACCCGAGCTTTATGTTTTACAGGAATTTGTAAGCCTCTTGTTCTGGCGAGGAATTGTTACTCTTGTAGGTAGAGAAAAAGCTCTACTGTAGCCGAAAAAGCTCAACCTTATTACAAAAAATTATCACGGAAACGCGTTTGAAGGTAATGCATGTAGAACGCTAGTAAAAAAAGCTGATAAGTTAGAAGATCCAGAAATGTATGAAGAGGTAGGTATTTTCAAAATGATACCCTTTGTAAATGCTTATAAGGCAATGAATAAAGTAGTTGATTGTTGTTTTACCTCTAGAAAAGTTGGACTCTCACCCGATGCTTACATAAACGAATTAGATGAGGCTGATTAATGAGCTTTCTGAGACACTAATGATTCCCATGATTTTTGATCATGTAAAATAAAGTTTAAATTACATAGAAAACAATAACGGATGAAGGTACTAGTCAGAGCAAAGCGGAGGATCTATACATCGTAATTTTTTGAAATTCTGGGCATGTCACAAAGTATCAACTTTACCTCACGGATCATATTCATCACAACTGTTAAAAGCAGTCATAGAATTTTCTTCCCTACATTTTCAAGTATAATTTATCTTTACTTAAACTATGTTCCTAAGTATGATTAAAAATTACAAATTGCTATTATCTATAGTTTAATACATAGCTTATCTAGAAAATTTTAAGAAAAATCTAAAAGTTATGAAAAAAATTAAAAAATATTATAAATGAAAAAAAATTTTTTTTTACATGGGACCATTCAATAACTACCTCGTCGTTCGTCCTGGACTTGGCTAAAAGTGGTAATAAAGATTATCAAATCCAAAAATGATTTTACGTGAGAAACTCTTTTACACAGGGTCAATAACACACAGTTAATATGTAAAAATCTAAAAATACGTATAACTCGCAAAAAGAAGCAACTACAATTTTAAATTCAACTGATTTTTTCTGTACAAACAGTATAGAAACTTTCTGCGTTCACAGATTTTGATTCCATTTTATTCAAACTTTTGAAGCCTTCAAGAACACCGTGTAATGCAGTCGAAGTTTCAGACAAAGTTAATGTCAATATTTCATCTATGGCTGCTCACAGACGACTAAATGATTTTGATCGATGACAATCCGTTTATACTTTGAGACATGAATTTCAAGCATAATTCTCGACCACAGATATAAGAATTATAATTTTTATATTTTTCATAGTTACACTTGATATTTTCAACTCCATAGTACATCATAACATCGATTGGTGGTTGTGGATCGCAAAAACTAAAAAAAGACATCATTACCACGTTTTCGATACGCCACCCAGCGTGTTCCCGGACGATCTTTATCATTAGGATCAACTACAACAGTTCCACGAAAACAAAGCCAATCAACAGATTATTTGAATCAAGATCCCGCGAAGATCGGAGATTTTTAACTTCTTAGTATATTTAAATAAATCAATATTCATTAGAGTTCTCTTGAGTAATTGTTGACTGTCTCCAACGGTCAAGCATCACGAACCAATTTTTCCACCTTAAATCATCAAAACAACTAAGGTCTGCAAAAAAGGGTGCTTCAGACACCAACATTTTCAGCGCAATACCATAAAACATTGTAAAAGAACTTTACAACCAGCTCTAACGCTTCAGACGTTGCAGTTTTCCTCCCGATCAGCCTGGTGCTACAACAGCAGCCCAAAGAAAACAGTCCTAAGATATCTAGGCAGTCACGTTTGCTGAAAACTTTAATCAAGAAAGAGTTCAGCACCGGTCCTTGTTAGAGCAATCGGACGTCAAACTACCTTTCCAACAAAAATATTACAACGTAACAAAATAGACAAAATATAGCCGTCATAGGGCTCAAAAAAGTTTCAACCATGCCTATAGTCTCAAGAGAGTGAATTGGAAGAAAAACTTGATATGCTTCAAAGGTATACAATTTTTGACATCAAGAAACTGATTCAGAACATTGAGATTGAAACAGCAGCGTAAAAATCGAAAGATAAAGAATCTATTTCGTGAGAAATTTGCTTTCCATTATTGATTGATTGGAAAGTACACCACGAAGAATA